AAACAATTACAAATAAAAAACTATAAAAGCATGGTTTATGTTTTAGTGATTTATGTACAGATAGCCTTGTCCAATGCTCTAGATTTGCCCCTTTATTATGAATCTCTCCTTCTGTTTTTAAAAACTTGTACTTCATCTCTAGACCCAAAGTCAATACTTATATGTAATAGTCATTTATGCATCTGCATTGTCTCATTACACATACAATAAAAACCTCCAGATTCTATGGAGGCAAGATGCTCATTTGGCGCTTTCTACTGTATGATGTTCAAGCCCCTACCCTGTTGTGCCTGCTACAGTGGGATCAACATCTTCACAAGACGAAACTGGGTAAAAGACAGTTAAAAGGCAATATCAGAACAGTGTCAGATATTGTAGAATACTTCAAACAGCAAAATGAAAAACAAGCTGCATTAATTTTTTTAGATGCAGAGAAAGCTTTTCACAGTTTAAATTGGCCTTTTTAATATAAAGTTTTGGAAGATATGAATTTTAGAGAGAATTTTATAAAATGGGTAAAATTGATAAACCTCACAGAAAGCACAAATCATTGTTAATAGCAATCTAAAAAATCCTTGTGAGATACAAAAAGGAACAAGACAAGGATGCCCATTATCCCTTCTGAATAGAGATATAAAGCAAGATGAGAGGATAACAGACCAATTGACAAAAAGTTGGAAAACACTCGTGGAATGTTGTTTTTATGTATGATAATATCGGCGAGACTTTTATAGGCCCAATGGTGGAAAGATTTGACATCACCCACAATGGAAGAGTGGATGGTGAAGATGATGGAGCTTGCTCAGATGGCTCAACGACAGCCTTGATTAGAGAAATGACACTGATTAAGCTGACTGGAAACCCCTTTTGGACTTTTTGCATGAAACAGAAAAAAATGAAACTATGATATATGGGTATGATGATTAGAAAAAATAGTAGATGATAGAAAAAATGAAAGCTATGTTGCAACCATGGAGTAAGAGTTCAATTTAATTTTGTACCTATAACTGTTGTAAAAGAAAATCAGAAGTAATTATATTTCTTTTTTCTTTCTTTTTTTTCTGCACTTTTGGCTTCTTTCTTTCTTTTTCTTTTCTTTGTCTTAGATATTAGTTTCTGTTAGTTTATTCCTTTTTTGCTTACAAATTTAATAAAGTTATTATTAAAAAAAAACAAGATGAAATTGGGCAAAACTACTTGCAGGAGTCATCCCCAACATTGGCATTTTCTGACTGTGAGGGTCTACTCCCAGAATTCCTCTGGCAACACTGCTATTGCAGAGAATTTGAGGAGTTGAAGTCTGTACATCTGGAAAGCATCCAAGCTGGGGAAGGTTATATTATTGGTTTATTTCATTACCAATCTACGTGAATTTCACTATGGGTTTTGGCTTGACATGCACTGGGTTGAGTTCAAACATATGAGGTATGGTGTTGTTTCCACACCACTTCTAAGTACTCCAAAACAGCACACAGTAACAACCAACTGTAGCATATATATTACACACAGTCATATATACAGTCCTCTCATTTATTCCAGCCATGGTTTAAATGTTCTTTAGCATGAATAGCAAACATTCGCTTCTATCTTTATAAGAAGTAAAAGAATAAACGTAACTGTACCTTGCCCTTACACATATTATTACCATGTTTACTATGACAATGATTCAGAGAGGTATACAGAAAATGGCTCTAATGGGTCTGATATGGCCTCTTTCTTGGAATTTCTAATAATATACAAGAAAGTAGGCTGGAGTTTTCACTCTATTCTCCCATCAACAGCAAATGCTGTTCTCAAGACACACTATGACAGTTCCCTTGGACTTACCCTTTACTATCTTCTAATGACAACTCCTCAAGGATGACCAGAGCAATGACAATGCAGTAATGCCCCCAACTGTAAGGTTCTTCTGAAGATACTATTGTTATCTATATATTTATACATCATGCAAAGAATTCTATGCTAGTGAGAATTTTAAATTCAAATCCCTAATTCAGTAATAAATTAATAGTACTTACGATTTGGATTGTGCCTTAAGTAAAATTGTTAGTCTCAAAAGGTACTACCAGATTCTTTCTGAATGTTGGCTATCATAAACTAACACAGCTCTCCTCCTACACAGTTTTCTTGGACTCAGTAACAAACTTTTTTTGCTTTCACGTACAAATAAGATGCTTACATGCAATGCCTCATAATTCTGGTGACCTGAATAGATATATTCTGACATGCCTTTTGG